TTTTCTTAATTGGAAGGTAGAATCCTGGAGCTGACACAAGTTTTATAGACAATACAGTGCTTTGTATATTTGAATGTGTGATAGTGGAGAAATATCTATGTGGAAATGTTCAACAAGGATTAGAAATTTTGATTTGGAGCTTGAGAAAGGGAATGAAGGTAGACATGTACATATGAGGATACTTTTTATAGAGGTCACTTTTGAAGAAATTTGATTGTTAATCTTTAACTGTATCTTGCACTAGGAACAAGCCAACTATAACTTCGGAGTAATTCTATAGCGGGTTTGTGGTTGTTTCTGTGGGTAGAAATGAAGGACTTGAAGAGAAACGACCACTGCAGGTCAGTAGCTAACGTTTTCAGACCAGGTAAGGAAGAGAGTAATTTACTCCCCCAAACTCAAGTGCCAAATTTCAGAGGGAGAAATAATGTGGACTCCAAAACCTTGGGGCCAAGGCCAAAAGTAGAAAATGGAGAAAAATTATTCAATAGAAATGTTATATTACAATTAGTTGTTGCCAAGGCAATTCAGTGAGGGGAAAATGATACTTTCCACAAATGATGCTGGGACATCTGTATATCTACATGCAAAGGAATGAAATTGGGTTGGTACATCACATCGTATGTAAACATTAACTCAATGTGAATCAAAGCTAAAACTAGTAAACTCTTAGAAGAAAACATAGGCATACATATTTATGGCCTTGGATTAGACAATTATCTCTTAAATATGGAACTAAAAGCACAAGCATCAATACCATAAATAGTGTTCATCAATACCATAAATAGTAAAAACTTTTAAAACCTTTTGTAGTTTAAAGGATACCATCAAAAAATGAAATGACAACCCACAGAATTGGGAATAAAACTGTAAGTTACATACCGGATAAAGAATTTTTATCTAGAATATATAGAAAATTATTACAATTCAATAATTAAAAACAAATAACCCAATTCAAATATGGAAAAGGAATCTGAATAGAGATATATACAACAGAGATACAGATCGCCAGTAGGCACAGGAAAGATGTTCACATAATTATACCTTATATAAATGGAAATTTAAAAAAAACAGGTACAACTCACATGAACTAGAATAATTATAATAAAAAGAAAAGTATTAATAAGTGTTAGTTAAAAATCTGAAACTCCTATTCTGATACAATGAAAGTAAAATGGTGCAGCCTCTTTGAAAATGTATCTGGTATTTTCTCAAAAGGGTAAGCATGACCCAACAATTATCCCTCTGTGTATATACCAGAGATAAATAAAATAAAGTATTTGTACTCAAATGCTCATAGCAGCATTATTTATAATAGGCCAAAGTGGAAGCAAAGTAAACATCCCTTGATTGATAAGTGGCTAATAAAATGTGATATATTCCTACATTGCAGTATCACTTGGCAATAAAAAGGAATGGAACACTGGCTTTTGCTACAACCTGGACGACCCTTAAACAAATCACTAAATGAAAAGTCATTCAGGAAGAACTACATGTTGTATAATTCCATTTATATAAAATGTCAGGAATAGAGTTAGAAAATAGATCAGGTGTTGTTTAAGGCTGAGGGGAGGAGGAAGGGGGACAGGACATTAATACTAAGGAGATGGCATTTTTTTGAGTGGCATTGAAAATATTATGCTATGAAATTATTTGTGCTGATAGTTTCACAGCTCTGTGTTATACTAAGAACTATTAAGTAATACACTTTGGGTGAATTGTATGGTATGTAAATTATATCTTTTAAAAAAATATTTTTTATTGATTTTATACAGAGAGGAAGGGAGAGAGATAGAGAGTTAGAAACATCAATGAGAGAGTCATTGATCAGCTGCCTCTTGCACACCCCCTAATGGGGATGTGCCCGCAACCAAGGTACATGCCCTTGACTGGAATCGAACCTGGGACCCTTCAGTCCCCAAGCCGACGCTCTATCCATTGAGCCAAACCGGTCTCGGCTGTAAATTATATTTTGATAAAGCTTTTAAAAATTCTACTTAAGGATAGAACTGGGGTAAGTGATGACACAGAGAGCAGGGTTCAGGAAAGGCATCCAGTTTTATCTGGGTGAAATAAGATCAAATAGACACCAAAGGCAAGTTGCTAATTGAAGAAAGAGATTAAAAACAACAGCACAAAACCCTCTGCACTAGCAAAATGTACTTATTTTTTTAGTTTGTTTGGGCTATTTTAACAAAAACACAATAGACTAGATGGCTAATAAACAATAGGCATTTATTTCTTATAGTTTTTAAGGCTGGGAAGTAAAGATGGAGATGTGGGCTGATTTTGGGTCTGATGAGGACATGCTTCCTCTTTCATAGACAATTGTTGTCTCCCTGTTTTCTACACATGAAGGTGGTTCGGGGGAGGGAGCTTTCTGGGATATCTTTGATGAAGGCACTAATCCTATTCCTGAGGACTCCATCCTTATGACCTTCCTCAACACCCCAGTTTCTAACATCATTGTCTGGGTGTTTTAACATATGTGTTTTAGGACACAACCAGTCCATAGCCTTTGCTTAGTGGGGAGTCTTAATAAACATGAAAAAAAAAACTGTTCTCTTAAAATAAACATCAGATGTTCTATATTGAGTCCCCTTCATCTTGTCTTTCCTTAATAGCATTTTTGCTAGATTCCATAACTTTGCCACAATTTTTGACTATTGGAACAGTCTAATTCTGGTACTCAAGAATTAGTTCTTTGCCCTCGCTGGTTTGGCTCAGTGGATAGAACGTCAGCCTGTGGACTGAAGAGTCTCAGGTTCAATGCCAGTCAAGGGCAGCTACCAGTCAAGGGCTTGATGCCCGGCTGGTCAGGGTACATGCAGGAGGCAACCAATCCATGTGTCTCTCTACAGTGATATTTCTCTCTGTCTCTCCCCCTCCTTTCTACTCTTCCTAAAAATCAATGAAAAATATCCTAGGATGAAGAATAACAACACACAAAAAAGAATTAGTTCTTTAAGTTTAAAACCTATATCTCGCATCCCATGCCAAGCCATTCTCCCTTTCCCCCCAAGAACACACTGAGGCTGTGCAGAAGGGGACTATTGTCTGACTGTTCTCCCTTGGGACCCAGGCGGAAGCACTTCTCTCTCCTACCACCTCCCTCCACCTTTCAGCGATAGCTATCTTTGGGGCTGTGAAGAAGGAAATAAAGAAGAAACCGCTTTACCGTGATTCAGAGAAGATTCCTAGGTGCACCAAGAGGCTCTAAGCTTGCCCTTAGCACTCTGAAGAGGACTCGACCTACAGAAAGGTTATGTCATTCCATGCTCATGTGAACTGGTCTTTATTTACCCTGTTTTTGGTATCTATCCAAATGCTGGTATGGACTTCTTTGCCCAAAGGATAATGACCTCCTCCCCTAGTTGCTGTGGAGCCTTAAGCATTATTCCTTATATTATTTTACTTAAGCCCTTGGAAAAATGTTTGCTTGAAACAATCTTTACTCCCAATTCTGTGAATTATATAAGAGCTATTAGTTGTTACAGGTTGTTAATTCTAGAAATGTATTGTAGGGATTATTAAACACAAAGTTCTGGACTTGCAGGGTTGAATTTTTTTTTTTTTTTTTTTAGTTCATCTTAATCTAAGGGGTGTGGAAACTAAATTGTTAAGGATAACGGCAAATATTATAACCCTACTTCCTGTCCTTCTCTTTCATTATCTACTACTTTCTCTTGTTCTTCATTGCTTTCTTCAAAATATCAGATTCCAGCTGATACTCTATGAAATCTAATGAAATCCTTGGCAACCAAAACTATGCATGTGTGTATGTGTGTCTGTGTTTTCGAATTATTTCTTCTTCCTATAGATTTAAACTACTTTATCTGGATCATGGCATGTTGGACACATAGGCAACTAAATACTAAATAATTTACTTCTATTTCTTTCAAAACACTAACATATTCTCTGGTGACTTGGGCAGCAGTGGTGATTATATCCGTAGGACTGTCTCCTTTGTCAAAACTGGCAGTAGCTTTTCTGACACCACTAAAAATGACATTGACAGTACAGAGTCCTTGGGGTGGTCCACATGTATTTTTTTAAGAAAAGAAATGTCACAGTACTGTGGAAACAATCATATTTTCTGGCACTTAAAATTATACCTCACCATGCCAAGGTAAAAATAACTTGGGACAACAGTTATGACTTTGATTAAGAATACTGTGAAAAACATAGTAATATTGAAATCATACATTTTTAAGCTCTTCTACCTACTTCTCTCAGGCCAACTCCATAGGGTATAAATACCCAATTCATGAGCTGATTGGGCATGAAACCTCTCACTTCTCTTTATGCTCTCTTCAAGTAGATAATTTTGGATTCACAATTGGTAACTTCTCCAAATGTCAGGCAACACAAAATTTTAGACAACTTTCAGAGCTACAGAGGGAAGGTGGGAATACACAAGTGGGAAGTGATAATTCAGTAGTATTTGATTTGAGATTTTGAAGTCTGACTTACACTTAACTACCAGCCAAGGAAGGCCAAAGGCCAGATGCTGGAAGAGGCATAGATATGAAATAATGAGAGGACATTTACTTATTTGCATTTATTTACCTGTGGGAAAAACCAGTTTATTTAACCAGTCTCCAGTTTAAGTTTATCTGACCATCATCTATATAACTAGAAGAGAAAACTGAATCTTATTTCTATATTTTAGTACTATTTTTACTAGCCAGAGGGAGAAATTATGCTATGACTTGAAATACAAGCTGTGGAAAAAGTAGGTTTATAGTTGCTCATATGAAAAATAATAGAATAATTAATAAATAATAATACAAGAAGAAACTATGTTTCATGTATTCACAACTATAAACCTACTTTTGCCCCACCCTGTATACCAAGCCCTTGAAAATGGACCCTACCCTCAAGTGTTGACCATGTTTTCCAATTGCCCTACTAACTGCCCATGAAAAGCATGCCTGCACACACTGGGGAAGGCATGTTGAGCATGTGGCCATGGTTACAATAAACCTTTTATTTTTCCTTAGGGAAAAGCATGAATACAGTTCACAACTACCACAGATTATACAGTTGAGTTCCCTACGTTTGGGGACATTTCAGGGGTCAGTACATCAGAAATGCAATGTATTAGCTTCAACCTAGAAAAACCCCATTTGTGACCATGGTATCTCCCTGATCAGGTAAGCATCAATAAATCTTTGTTTGTTTGTTTGTTTGTTTGTTTGTTTTTCAGACTTGAAGTCATACCTTTTCCTTTTCTTTGGGACAAAAGAATCTCTAAGAACCTTACTTCTTCCCAAACCCTGAATCATCATGGCTAAATTTTCTAATATGTTTTAACTCATCTATCTTTTTTTTCATTTTCAATCTTCTTTTTACATTATGTATATCAGTATCAGATAGACTAGCTTTCCTAAACTTCATTTTAATACTCCCATAATAAGAATCAAATATAGCTCTTTGTTGTCCATCAAATGAAGGCCAGTCACTTTAGCTTGGTACTTTATATTTCAATTATCTTCTTATCCACTAGAATCCCTTTCCACTCAAATCTTCATCTTATCCCAAACATTTCAAGGCCTTTTCCACTTCCTCCCCCATAACAGCTCAGCCTAGAGTGCCTCCCCATTCACTTTGATCCTTCCCACAAATGTATTTCAACTATGATAAACCAAAATTTTTTTGATGATCCCCAAGAGTCTGATAGGCCTCTTATCCTCTCACCCCATTAAGAATCATAGTTTTTGTTTATCCTACTAGCCAGAGGTTTGTAAAGTTTTCATTTTCTTGATTTGTATCAAGAAAATGGCACTTACAAGTGACACATGTTTGTTTATTTATTGTGTATTACTTCCTATTCTTTAATTAATTGGGTAAGCTTCTTGAGAATAGTAGGCATATCATATTTCCTAATATTTCTTTCTAGCCTAATGGCACACATATTATACATGTTTAAGTTCTTATTATCAATCCATTTTGCTCAATAATCAGAAATTTCTCTGATCACAGTTTGTCTGTCTGAATTATGGTTGCTTTCCAGTATTTATAAAAAACAAAATTGCTCATAATCCATGTATTTATAAAAGAAAATTATTCTCTCCAGTCTCTGGGCAAATTTTGTACACATGTAAAAATACTCAGAAAAATAACATTAGGAATAAATGAGCTCTATGTTTCCTAGTTGAATGAGGTTTTCAAGGTAATCACAACCATATTATTTGCAACCAGTCCTCTCAATGCCTAACATTTTCTGGGAATATGTGGATGGTTTACTCATTAATCTGTTGCTTATAATGTATCCCAATGTGTTTCTCCTCCACTAATCTATCCCTTCACAAATTATCCCTTGTTCAGGGGGAAAAAAAAAGTATGAGAAATACTTTCCACTCATCTCGCCAATCCTGTTAAGAAACATTCCATTTATTCTTCCAAAGCTAATATTTACCTTTTCTAATAGACATGATTTCTATTTAAAGTCTGATATTTTAGAAGTTTTTATTTACCACTTTATAAGCAATATTTTGCCCATATGTACATAGGTATTCACCAACATTTGTTTCACCAAATTCTGTATCAAAAATGATTATGAAACAAATCACTGAAATACACACAGAAGAAATAAACTCTATCTTAGCATTTACCTAGAGTACTCTTCATTTTTATAGGTATGTGGAAAATTCTACATAAAGAATGCTAGCTTTGTTTGCTGAATAAAGTTTGGTAATATATTCAGAAATATTCTCCTAGCCTTGGATTAAAGCACTCAAGGAAAAACAAACACCTCCTGGAACTCGATTTACTCAAATGAGTTTTGAAAAAGAAAAAAAATATTTTATTTCTTAATAATTCAAGCACACTTACTACGCATTCACTTGTTCTTTCATAGAGCACCAGGTTGAACTCATATATGTGTAATAATCTTCCAAGGTAAAGAATGTTTTAAAGCATTTTGTTGATTTGGGTTATTGGCTCACCCACTATCCAGGGAAAATGAGGTGGAATATTTTCAAATATGCCCTTCTCAATTTCTCTTCACAACTCTCTTTCCTGCCAAAATCTTGTTTTCACAGTTGTATTTTTGTTACCGATGCTCACTCTGTGTGGGCCCTCTCTAATAAGGACTCTGGGAAACACACTGATTGATTTACTCTTACTGTGATCCGAGACTTGGGAATTTGAAGGGCTCATATCTGAGATTATGGGTTGGAAACAGAACACTGGTGCTTTGTGACTGAGGAAAGGAACAGATGCCTATCACAGTGCACTTATGGTTGCGTTGTCAGATTAGTCAGTGAAGCAATTTGTTCTTTTTAATGAATTAATCAACGCTTAGCTAAAATAGTAAACCACAGTCTTGACCTGAGTGGGGAAAGTGGTGAAGTAAATAAGGATACGCTAAACTATTTACAGAAAAATGTAGAGTGGCGTCATGCTCAGTATGCATCCAGGAAAACAGAAACCTAATGTCCGCTGGCTCAGCCATTGCACAGATCGGTTTTCAAGTGAATGATATTGCTGCTTTTAATTTATTACGCAGATATTCTATATAAGCGAAGGTTTAAGTGGAATAACTTCTAAAATGTATTGTTTTGAACTAGATTCAAAATTTGAAGAAAAAAACACCCTCAATTTAAAAAACAACTGGGATGTTGAAAATTTAAAACAATAAACACAAACTCCTAGAAAGTATGGATTTACCATAACACTATCATTAACACATCCCTTTGGAATGTATCAGAGAAGTACACATTCTCACATTGCTACAGTAGTTCTGCAACCCTAGAGCACAAACAAGGAATAAAGTTAAAATTAATAATAAAGCAATAGATTTATTGAAGGAATTGCTCTAGTCTAGACAAATAAAAGCAAAAACAAATCCATTTAAAGTTTGCATTGAAAAAATGAACCACGAAGGCTTTCTTTATTTTATTTCATAATGTCTTCCATGTCAGAGGCTACGTGAATACAGACATCACTAAGTTAGGATTTGATGGTAACAGCAATAGCCACAACAGCAATCAATCTTTCATATAAGTTGTTAAGTGCAGGCACTGAAAACTTAGCATGTACTACCTTCTTCAGTCTTCACAATGACCCTAAAAGGATCATTACTTTCCTGTGCTGCTGTAACAAATTACCATAACTGTGGAGGTTAAAACCACAGAAATTTTTTCTCTCACAATTCTAGGGTCTAGAAGCCAAATTCCACTAGAGAGACACTATCTTTGAGGGTTCTTGTGGATGATCTGGGGGTTCTTTGGCTCCCTCAGCTTTTTCTGGTGGTTGTTGTCAGTCCTTCACTTATGACTTGCATTGCTCTAATCTCTATGTAATCACAGTGGCTCCTCTTCTCCTGTCTCTTCTCTTTGTCTCTTATACGGATACTTGTTACTACATTTAGAACTCATCTGCATATTCCAGGAAGATTTCCTCATCTTAAGATCTTTAGCTTAATAACATATTTTCCAAATTAAAGTAACATTCACAAGTTCCAAGGATTAGTACATGGAGATATCTTTTGGAGGACACTAATCAACCCGCTACAGGTAGGTAATAGTACTATATACACTTTATAAATGAAGAAAATGAAACACACTAGCTAACATTTATTGGACTATATCCTATACATTATACAAAGTGTTTTTTAAAAAACATATATATATATTATTGATATTTTACAGAGAAGAAGAGAGGATAGAGAGCTAGAAATATCGATAAGAGAGAAACATTGATCAGATGATTCCTGCACACACACACACCCCCCCCCCCCGGGGATGTGCCTACAACCAAGGTACATGCCCTTGACTGGAATTGAACCCTGGATCACTCAGTCTGCAGGTCGACACACTATCCACTGAGCCAAACCGGTTTCAGCTTATGAAGTGTTTTTTTATACACTGTGTTATCTACTTAATGTTGATAAACATTCCATGAGCTAGATACAATTATTATTATTGGCATTTGAAAGATAGTGAAAGACAGGCTGAGAGAATTTGCTCAATATCACACAGTTTATAAATGACAAAGCCAGGATTCAAATGCAGGACTGTGTGATTTCAGAATCTTCATACTGGAATACAAAGCAACCCTATTCCTCAAACTTCCACCACTTAGAAGGATCAAGGTGGTGGAGACCTCACATGATGCTGAGATAAAGTAGTGGGGTTCAAATTACTATCTTTTGGAATTAATTCCTTGTGCATAAACTGGGAGTATCCTATATAATAAAAGGCTAATATGCAAACTGACAGAAGAGTGGAATGACCGGTCACTATGACATGCACTGACCACCAGGGGGAAGATGCTCAATGCAGGAGCTGCCCCCTGGTGGCCAGTGTGCTCCCACAGGGGGAGCACTGCTCAGCCAGAAGCCAGGCTCATAGCTGGCAAGTGCAGTGGTGGTGGCGAGAGACTCTCTGGCTTCCAAGGTAATGCTAAGGATATCTGACTGCTCCAGACTGTGAGAGGGCACAGGCCGGGCATGCATTTTGTGAACTAGGCCTCTAGTTAATTATAATAATTTATGTATCTCACAAATTATTACCCCTTTCAACCCCATGGATGCTGGAAGTTTAAATCAATGTTATTTAGAAATTACTTAAATATAATAGACTGCACCCATTTAAATTGAACACATTGATCAATTCAATGTGTTTTGAAAGTCATATGAACTTGTGAATGCACTCCCACTATCAAAATGCAAAAAAAATGTCCATACTCAAAAAAGATGGTTTGCCTCTATCTGAAATGCTCTATCCCTTTCTCCATTTCTGGCTTCAGTCAACTACTTATCAGCTTACCTACACTAATAAAAGAGAAAAATGCTAATTGACCATACCTTCATGATGCCCACAGCCAATCAGAGCAAGTATGCAAATTAACCCAACAAAGATGGTGGTTAATTTGCATATGCTGAGGGAGGGAGGAGTGAAGACTGAGGACAGCATAGAAGGAAAAGCAGAAAGCAAGGCGACTGCCAGAGGGAAAGTGTGGGTTGGGTGGGGCAGAGCAGGGTGGGCAGGCCAGTTGGCAGCAGCAGGGGGCCCTCGGCCATGGTGGCCGCTTGTAGGAATATTCCTACAAAAGGCTTCTAGTGTATATTATAAAAATGGAATTGTGCACTATTTACACTCCTGTCTGGTTTCTTTCAGCATAAAGCTATCAAGGTTCATCCATGTTGTTGCATGC